GCATCTCTGCCACGCACGGAATCGGTTGAAAATTTGATGTTAAAAAGTCTAGTCTATTCGGTGAATTGTTTTCACGGCTATTGTTATGCTGATTCCCCTGGAACCGTGGTCGAGTAGATAAAACTTGGGCTTCAATAAAACTGAGTCAAGTCCGGTTGAGGGAAGTTAGTATCTGGATGGGTGACCTAAAACTGATACCTACTTAACTTTTTTTGCGATATTTTTTTCCCGAAAAAAAACAACAACGACAAAAAAAAAAAAACAAAAAAAAAAAACAACAAAAAAAACAAAAAAACATCGTTTCCTCCCCTCCCTAGTGACAGCCTTCAACACAGGTATCCCAAAGCTTGGGGTTCCTGTGGCTCATAGTTTTAGCGGCCATTTTGAAAGTTAGATGTCTTCAAATCTGTCTGAAGCTTTGAATTCTTATTTTCTTCGAAATAATAGGATAATGTCATGAAAGACAAGTCTCTTGTACAATATTAACTATGTGGTGGCTGAGAATTCGTCCATCTCCTATTATTTCCAAAGCTTTGGTGAGTATTTTTGATGTATTTTTACTCGTTTCCTTTATGAATTCGAAGTAAAAATAAAATGTTAAACCACTTCTTTACAAGAAAAAATTCAAACACACACGCAAGGATATGTTAAATACTATAATATTATTAAAGAAAATACGTAAGTATGAATTATTAAAGGGATAAAACAATTCTTCGTTTGCAATAGACGTCATAGCCGCCATGTTGGAAGAATTTGACAAAAGATTTTTCAATGAATGCTTTTGTTATATCTTCCAACATGGCGGACATCCCTTTTGTTATTGTGCTCTCTTGGGATTGATTGCAAACCAAGAATACTGTCTTTTATCTGAAGGTCAGTACTAATAAAAATTACATTATTAGAATAATATTAATTTATTATCACATTGCAGGTCAATATCAACCATAAATGGACACTTCGATGCACAACATGTGTGGTACCTAAATTAATAAATCAGAAAAATCAACCATGTCGGCAATCAAGTTCTGGTATATCTCACTACTTCTCACAAGACTTCACGCCAATTTACTTGGCACAACAAACCTTAGAATCAATTCATTCATTCACTCATTTACCTTGGTGGGGGGTCATCCTTGGGGCGACTTTCTTTCTTAGGACTATTATTACTCTACCTCTGGCAGTACGGCAGAATAAATTAGTGACAAAGATTGAGTTACTGCAACCAACGTTGAAAATGATGTCTGAAGCTCTTAAATACAGGATAGCAGCAGAATGCAAGCAAGGGGGTAAAACGGCAGCCCAGTTTGATGCAATTTACAAGAAAAAGGTATATTTGCAAGACAATAAATTGAATTCAAATTGGAACATCTGTGAGGAGGGTATATTGTGTGGTATCAGAAAATATCCATGCCTTCCGCATGGAGGGGGATTGCAATTTCCAAGGGGTGGGGAGGGTCTGTACCAGAAAATATTCATACCTCCCCTATCGAGGGGGATCAGAATTTCCAAGGGGTGGGAAGGGTCTGAGGAGGGTATATTGTGTAGTACCAGAACATATCCATACCTCACCCATGGAGAGGGGATTGAAGTATCCAAGTGGGGTGGGGAGGGTTTGAGGAGGGTGTATACTAGTACCTCTTCATGACATCCAAACTTAATGATAAAACAATCCAGTTATCTCACATCATTAATACACCATCTTGTACATTTCATTGATAATTTTATTAATTGATTACATTCTCCCAGCATCGCCGCATGATGTATGAGCTTTATCAAAACGAGGGATGCAACCCAATCAAGATGTTTTTGTTGCCATGGATACAGCTACCATTATGGATTATTATTTCATTAGCAATAAGAAATATGACAGGTACAAGCTATATGCAGACGGCAAACAGAGGTATGATGACTTTTTCTAAAAATCACAATTTTAATTTTTGCATATTTTTGGAGCATCTACAAGAAGTATCTAGTTTAGAGACAAAAACACTGTACAAGTAACAACATTCATGGAACCTGACTGTAATACAAAGAAACTTTTTCACTACCATCAATTAAAAAAATCAGTAACTCAAATCAATGGGTATTTCCAGAAATTATCCATCCCTCCCCCTCCCTCCCACCCACAGAGGAATTTGGAATTTCTGAGGGGTAGGGGGGTCAGACAAAGAACAAAATAACAGGGTTTTTATGGAAGAAAATTGAAGAAATTCCTCAGTTGGGGGTTATGGATTATTTCTGGAATTAAACAATGAAAATTTGATCAATGAAACCAGAAAAGACATAATAGGAAACTTTACTCTAAAGAATGAAACTTTTACTTGATCTCGATGCAAACTTTTTTTTGTAAAAGCTGTAAATTAATATTCTACTTAAAAGCAATTAACAAAACTTATCTTCATGAGATTTTCAAACCTTATTTTCAAGGGATGTACTTTTTTGTATTTTTAGCCTTTCTTTCTGTCTTTCTTGATGCTGAAGCCAATATCTTCTAAATAGTTTGACCTGTCAATGTATTTTGCCTTTGCTGATCTCAAAACCTCTTGAATTTCATCTTCAGTCAGATCCTTTTCATTGATTTTCCTCAACTCTTCTTCAAGTACTTGCGATCTTCTTGCATCGGCTTCTGCCATTTCTTTGTCAATACCTGTATCTTGGAGTAACTTGGAAATAGATCTTGGAGACTTCGATGGTGAGCTGTACTGTTTCATTAACAGAGCACGGGCAGTTGCTCTCTCTGATAACAGATCCTTACCTGCCGCCAGTGTGAACGCATGTTTGTAATGATGCTTGATCTCACTAACTTGGTTTTCGGAGTTGGTACTGTCATCCTTAAGGCCAATTCCAATTTTAAGTTTACGAATGTCATCAGAAAACTCAAACATTTTGAATTCTAATTGTTCTACCTCTTCACACAGTGCTTGGAACTTCTTGGTGATCTGGTTGATATCAATCTGTCCCTCAACTTCATCCACATGATTGAATTTTACCCTTGCATTCTCCTGCACCTTCTTGCTGTCATCACCTGCTTGGATTTCTCTCTTTTTGACTGATTTCATGAATCCTGTTTCTTTATCATTTCTCCCACTGTCCTCATCATTGGAACTTGAGCTTTGAAAATTGTATTTCTGGCTGTTGAAGCCTTGTGTCTTGAAAGTTATCGACGAGTTCTTTGCTCTGTCCCCACTTCCTCCATCACTGCTTGCACCATCAGCAACGTCATATTCTGAGGAGGAGCTCTTATATTCTGGTACTTCATCTAACTTTGATTTACTCTTTAAAAACCTCTCTTTGGTAACATCGCTCTGGGTGGATGTTGTAGCTATGGCTTTGCTGTTATCAGGACACCCAAATGACTTGAGTTCAGGCTTTTGTGAAGACGTCATCAACATGAACATCGGGTTAGGTTTCATCCATAAATCAGAGTCAATGCTAGAGAGTCTGGGTGATGTCTTTGGTGAGAAACAGCTCTTAGTGGGCGTGGCAGGTCCCTTACCCTTATCTGAAAAAGATAAACTCCATCTATCAGGATTATTGCCTGTAACTGTGCTCTCTTTACTTGACCACGCCCAAGGGTTCTTTTTCTCATCACCTTGGAAACCATTCTTTTGATCACCATGGAAACCACTTGTCGCTCTTGGTACCTTTTCCTTCATATCATATGTTTTGCGCATGGAGAATCTTTTCTTTTCATATTCTTCATCAGAACCACTTGTTGGTGGTGATGGTGATGATGATGAAGAAGAAGATGATGATGATTCTTTAGACCCAAAGGGTTTCTTCTTAGGACTTTTGATGTACTCGTGCTTTGCCAGCGTATCTATGGTAACTGTCTCAAATGTATACTTTTTCCCGGTACCATTGTGTGACGAATCTGATTCTTCTAGTGAACTTAAACTCCTAATAGAAGCTGACCTCTTGATTGGACTGCTGGGTGGACTACTGCCTTGATGCTCAAGAGCTTGAATCCTTGATCTCAAGTCACTGCAGCTGGAGACAGATCTGGTCAACGTGCTGTTTGTCTTGAGGGTTTTCTTGGGACTTCTTGCAATCTTTTCTGCCAGTAGTTCTGTGTAAAGGCGTTTTGTCTTGTCATCTCCTTCCCACCACTTGTATCCAGATTTAGAGGGGGAACTTGTCATAATTTGATTCCTGTACCGATAGAAAAACATATATATTGCTGATCATAAAGAGAATAAACACTGATGGTAGTTGTTGATAGTGATATTGACGGTAATGATAAGATGACGATGGTGATGATGATAATGATGATGATGGTGATGGTGATTATAATGATGATAATGATGTTGATGGTAATGATAAGATGGCGATGGTGATGATGATAATGATGATGATAATGGTGATGGTGATTATAATGATGATAATGATGTTGATGGTAATGATGAGATGACGATAATGGTGGTAATGGATATAATGACGTAAATAATGATAGTGATACTATAATGAACATAACCGTAGACCTTCTTATTGCTAGTGACATTATAAGCTTTTCTTCCCAACGTCTTGCTTCCTGCCTATTTTTCATTTTTCATCCAAAATACATCCACCCTTAAGTCTCCCAAACTATTTATAAAATCCTTTTCCATGTCTAATCGAGTCGCAGTTACTAATCGAATTGCATTATTGTATTTTTCAGAGTTAGAGTCTTCCTTCTCCTGTCCCGAAATGTCTAATGAGGGATTCCTGTGGTTTCCAGATCTTCTAGTCCCAGATCCCCTCATGATTCTTCCAGCTGCTGTAGGGCTGTTTAACCTGACTAATATCGAGGTAAGCGGTGAGCTCAACATTCCCGTAACACTTTGGCACGAGGAATACTTTTTTTATTTCAAAGGAAACCCAATTGAGATAAAATTGTAAAAGAAAAGAAAATTCGGGGGAAAATACTTTTTTGAGTAATTCACTTAGGAAGCGCGTAACTTTGATAAAAAATTACCGAAAATGTAAATTTTGGTTAATCCTTTTGCGATAGGTAGAGCGTTAAATGCGATGCGATCTGGAAAGTATTGGTAGTTTAGGCGTTATGATACTTATGCCGGCGCTACGAGAAAAGATAATGACAAATAGCCGACTAAGTACTTCTTAACTAGAATAAGGTTGCGGGCACTTTAAGACTGATCGTTATACATGCGATGCGATTTGAATTACTGGCTTCACAGACAGGGTTAAACAGAGCCGAACATAGCCTTCGTACATCCCAACACAAACTAAAAAAAATAATTCGGTGTTTTGAATACAACAAGTGAATAAGAATGACTAGTGGTTACTAGTTGGGACTGTGTTGGCCCGGGTGTGTTTGTGTTTTGAATACAACAAGTG